TTTTTTTTTATTTTTATCAAATTCTCAACAGTTTTGCCATCTTTTCTTGTTTTTTTATTTATTTCTCCTCGTATATGCAGGATAGATTTTTTTTATTTGAAGTGCCTTCTTTTCTTTTTCTTCTTTTTTTGCTATTTTTCCTCATAAATCATAAAAGCTAACATAAATTAAAGATTACTGCCTAATTATTTTATAATATGTCATATTATCTTCTTTTTTTTTCATTTTTCTGTCAATTCTTCCTCTTAGATCATAAAAATGACAATGATTTATTGCGTGGGCAGGTCTGAGAAGCTTGAAACTCATGTCCATTATTTTATAGCATGGGCTATAGGAGCGCATTTTCTGTCCGGACTCCTGACGTAGCTCTACGTGCGGCGGAGGTTATTCCTGAGTTACTTTCAGGTTATTTTCAATAATCCCAAAATAACCAAAAAATAAAGACAGCGGGTTATTCCTGATTTATTTCAGGATTATTGAAAATAACTCATAAATAACCTAAAAATAACTTAAGAATAGCATCTGCCGCACGTAGAGCTACGTCAGCAGTCCGCACAGAAAAATTTGATGAGTTATAGGCCCATTATTTGAAAGCTTCTTATGTTACTGGGCCGTTATCCTCACTCAATTCAAATAAAATTTGCACAGGAGCAAGTGTTTTTTGAACTGAATTATGCTATATATATATATATATATATATATATTGATGTTGTATTTCTAGAATAGAGAGATGCAAATGTTGATTCTAATGAATCGTGCATATGGGTATGACATATGGATGCAATGCAATTAAACACGGATACATGGACATGGAAAATTCTAGAAATATGATATTACATTTAGAATTGTTACAAATCTATCAGATATGTACAGCAACATAAGTCGTAAAAGTTGTATGCATATGTTTACAGTTCATCCACATAATTTTTTTACGATTATGGGTCTGTTTGGGGCAGTTGCAGCTTATCAAACTTATTCAAATGAGCTACTTATCCTAATAAGTTGCTGATAATTAGCTGATCCTGATAAGTTGTCTGATTGTTTGGTTTGTGCGTTTTAAAAATTGATGATTCTGGATAAATGATCATTATGCCTCTATTTTGGATAAGTTGTTTAACTGTTTAGCTTGTGCATTTTGTAAACATCTGATTTGCAAATTTTTTTAGTTAAGTGAACAATTTAGCACGCAAAAGTTATAATTTTCTTAGCAAAACAACAATGTCTACGCATTAGATATTTTAGAATCAATACAACCTCTTCATAACATTACAAAAAAAGATATAGACCTTTACACGATAACCTAACTAATAGTCTCTATATACCTATTAACCATCTAGCTTGAATCTGATGGCAAGAGTTTCCATCCTGCATGCAAATTAGTACAATTTTTTTTTTCTTTGGAAAGTTTCCATCCTGCATTACAAATTAGTACCACTTTTTTTTCTTTGGAAAATAAAATCATTAGAAGCCTTTCAGCAGCATAATTTAGAGCCAATTTTGATCTCATAATGGGTACATATCTACCAATTTCATGTTCTCTAATTGGTGCACTTAGTTAACCAAATTTGAAGACATTTTAAAGTTACATATTTAACAACATAAACACCAATTGGTCTTATCAGTAAGGTTCTAAATATGTTAAAAAATAATATAATCAAATGCTATAAATGCTCAATTATCAATGCATTAAATGAAATTAGCTTTGTTTACTTCAACAGAGCAGAGAAAAGCTAAAGATCACAGAACTTTCTGTCCTACAGTGGTAGCCCTTCAATAATGAAAAACTTTAACTAGCTGCTCCTTCAACATAGCAGACATTTCCACATCCAACCTTGCATCATCAAACTGGTTAACTTTCGAAATTGAAATTGATATCGGTGGCCACTAATCAACATAAAAAGTAACGAAATAAAAAAACGTAAATTATTTGTTAATATCATCCTTGAAATTTTAAGCGAACAAATTCTGAAATTCCCGCAACAACCCTAGCAATATATTGTCCGTGCAGAAGAACAATTAGACAATAAGTAGTAAATCACTCTAGTTGTCAAAAACTGTGACAACCACAGAGTCAGAAGGAACAGAACGATGCAATTACCTGGGAAGACTCACTGTGGGTGGAACTCAGCATTGGCATCGATTGTGGTAGGAGTGGCGATGATCGTGTGGCCCCTTTACGCGGAGCAGAGAATGAACTAGGTGTTCTTGGTTGAGGAGGCGAAACTTGCGGTGGAAATGCGGGGTTATAAAAAGGGGCTGGTGGAGTCGGATGAATTAGAGGAGCGAGTACGTTGGTTGATGGAGTTTGAGGGAGGTAAGGAGCTACACAGCGAGAGCGGAAGGGCGGCGCTGAGGGAGGGTGTATCGTCTTATGAAGTGTTGGTGGAGATTGTGCGCTTGGTGAGCAATGTCGGCGGCGGTGGACTGGGGTCCTCCGACGAGCAACAGTGATTTGTTATTATGGGTGAATCGATCAGATTACATAGACCACCGAAACTCCCATCTTCATCCTTGCGCTCCACTCAAAATCCATCTGTTTGCACCTTCTTCCAAGGTCGAGGGCAGCGGAGTAAAGAATCTCGAACGAACACGGGACGCGGGGTCAACCCCGCGTCCTGCGTTTATTAAGAAATTAAATAAGCCGTTTTAAAAAACGCTGACAGAACGTGCGAATCAAACAGGAAGGCGGCGTTTTGGAAACGCCACTGCACTTTTAAGCTGCCCCAAACGGAGCCTATGTCTGCCATAAGGCATAAGGCATATGTTTGATGAAGAAATTGATATGTTCAATGAGAATTTTAAAAGCCAAGAAAAGTTGGTGGAAAAAGGTTTGGATAAATGTGGAATGGAATTGGGTTAGTGTTGCGTGACATATATGTCTATGGGGATATATATGGCATGATTGATTTTGATGTTTGGAATAGAGTAACACAAATATTGATTCCAATGAATCTTACATATGGGTATGAAATATATGAATGCAATGTAATTAAATGTGGATACTTGAACATGGAAAATCTTAGAAAGTATGTTATTGCGTATAGAGTTTTGCAGATCTATTAGATGTATAACAACATATGTCACGGAAATAAAATCCATATGTTCACAGTTCACCCGCAAAAAAATTAAAATAAAAGGTAACCTCTCTGTTATTGTGTCCAGGATAAGGCAAGTTTTTTATGTTGAAATTGATATATATTCAATGAGAAGGTTAATGGCTAAGAACAATTGGTTGAAAAAATGTTTGGATAAATGTGGGGCCCATTTGGGTTAGTGATGTGTCACATACATGCATGTGAGTACGTATATTTTGTGTTTCATTTTGTTGTTCCATTTCTAGAATATAGCTACATAAATGTTGTTAATGAAGCTTGCAGGAAATATGGGTACAATGCAATTAAACAAGGATGTACATGGACATGAAAAATCCTAGAAAACGATATTGCATATAGAATTGTTATACTTCTATTAGATGTACAACAACATTATTCATGAAAGTTAAATGCATGTGTTCAGAATTCACTCACATAACATCTATATAAGGATAACATTTTTATCATGATGTCTAGTATAATGCATAAGGCATAATTTTAATGATGACAGTGATATATTCCTCGAGAAGTTCGAAGGCTGAGAAAATTTGGTGGAAAAAATTGGATACATGTGGAATTTGATTGGGTTATTGATGCATGAAATTTATGTCATGTTGATTTTGTTGTTTCATTTCTAGGATAGAGCCATGCTAATGTTGTTTCCAATGAAGATTGTATATGTGTATCAGTATATGAAATATGGATACAATGCAATTAGGTATGCATACACGGACATGAAAAATCTTAATAATCATGATATTGCATTTAGACTTGTTGTATATCCATTACAAGTACAACTCATAAAAGTTAAATGCATATGTTCACAGTTCACCCTTATAATTTTTAATATAAAAGGTTGCCATTTTGTCATTATTCCTGGAGAAGGCATAAGGCATATCTTCAACGAAGAAATTGATATTGTCAATATGAAGGTTAAAGGAGATGAAAAATTGGTGGAAATTAATTTGTGTAAATGTGGAAACTTATTTGTTTGGTGATGCATAGCATCTTAGGATCTTGGATTAACTGCATAATGTGATGTGTGAAAATACACAATTTGGTAGAAGGTTTGTGGTTTAAGAGACAACAATTAAAGCAACTACTTGCTTTCTTATGATATAAACTTGAAAGTAAGAGAATTTCGAGCTATGCAATATTCAGCGATTGATTAAATCTAAGAAAACCAACAAGAAATTGAAACCAGCTAAGATCAATGAGTTGATTGAAATTTTACACTACAATGGAGAAGTCTGTTCTTATGTATTTGATTAAAACCAATAATAGTTGCATAACAATTAATGAATTTTATATATATATATATATATATATATAAGGATCAAGAAAGGATTAATCAAATGAAAGAAAATCATGACACATCTTTATATGGCATAACCTCTGACACTTAATCATGCGTGCACTGCACTAGAAGGAATTCAGTATTCGATAGGTTCTTTTTTTGACAGCTTAACATAATATGTATGAAAAAGTCTTGACGTTTTAGACAGGGTGGCCGGTGAAATAGTTTTCTGGATTGTATATCATACTATAACTTCCATAAACTTCATGCTACAATGTAGTTTTTCAACTATCAATAACATCTGGTGACCTATTAACTTGTTCATCTTCAATATGGTTTAAACTTCACTAACAGTTCAGAAAATTCAACAGAAATACTGAGCTTATCATTATGTTAGCATGCTCATCAATCATGTCCTCAAACAGGCTTCTTCATTTATTTATTTATTTTTGTTCTAATAAGTTGCCATGGTGAGGCTGAAGTGTCATTCTATGTATTTCTGATTCTTACTATAGACTATGATTCATTAGGTTAACTGGTCAAACACGCACACAACATTTTTTTTACTAAATAAGTTATTTCAAGTAAAAATTTTTGGAAAAAAATTAAACATGCGTTCTTGACATGAGATTATATTTTCTCAAACATTATGGATTTTTTTTATCTCTTATAAAGCATTTCAGTTGTCATGAGAGTAGGTATGAAAGGAGCATGCTCAGCATATGATGTTACAGCGAAGTTTTTAGGAGAGGGCACTAGACCTCTTGTAGAGAGGAGCGTTTTTTCTGTCCGGACTCCTGACCTACCTCTATGTGCGGCATAGGTTATTTTTGAGTTATTTTCAGGTTATTTCTGTATTATTGAAAATAACTCAGAAATAACCTGAAAATAACTCAGAAATAACTTTCGCCGCACGTAGAGCTACGTCAGGAGTCCGCACAGAAAAATTTTTGTGAGAGATGCTTTCTACACCCATATATTTATTTTGCTCTGTTTTTCTGAATTCGAATTTGTGGCCTCTAGGTCACAATTGAAGCAAACTAGCCATTTCTTCAGTTATTGTTACTCTTGATGTGGAATGTCACAAGTGGATTTAGACTTTTCTCCCTAAGCACTGATTAGTTTGTTTTTGGATGGATAGAAATGGAAGGAAATGAAATAAAAGCAATTTGTTGCTTTATTGTGAATCCTTGGTTTCAGATTCTCAATTCTCTTCTATGCTTTCACTCAATATTCAAACATTCAAATGAAACCTTTTATTTATTTATTTATCTAACTTTGCATTTGTGATCTTTCTTAGCTTTTAATTTTTTTGATGTTTGTACCAAGATGCAATTCTCCTTTCACAGGTAGTCCTCTTTAGTTGCACTTAAAAAGCAATGTAAGTGGGAAGTGAGAATTCGGTTGTTATGAATTTCTCAACATGTTTATTGTTTGGTGACTCGTCACATATATTTTTGTAGGGGGCATTTACATGCATACCAACCAACTCCCATTTATTTACATATAAACACCACAACTTTAATTTTTTTACATTTATGTCACCCATATATTTTCATATCACATCTAATATACCACCATATTGACTTTTATAATGGAAATGCATTTTTTCATGCATAGGTAAGGTCGTATGCATGTATAAAATAAAGTTTAGCCGTTAGATAGGTTGACACATAGGAATTGAGCGGTATTTATGTAAATCTTCCTTTTTGTAAATTGCCTATATAAGAACTTTCTTTCTGCATTTGCATCCTGTAAAAATGCATGATCCCTTTTGTTATTGTACGGCTGATTATTCATGCTAAGAAACTTGCAATTTTTATTAATCTTTGGGAATACTACAATGGCCTTGTGTTCTTTAGGAAAATCTTCATGCTTTCTTAGATTCATGTGTTACATTGAAGAACATTATTTTATTTTCGTTTAATCTTTTTATTCAGAACTCCCAACATGAAGTTCAGAAATTACCTTCCTCATGATAAACTTCTTCAAGAGGGGAAATTACCTCCAGTTGATTTACCAAAGTTCGAAGATCCGATTGCCCCCGTACAAGAACCCTCTGATAAAATTGAGGTATTCAACCTTTATTTTTGATACACCAAATATGGCTTCGTCTTCATTCTCTCAAACTTCTCATTAATCATTCCCAAAATGTAGGATTTGGGGTGTACATTATTTGGTCAAAACCAAAAAATCGAACCCAAACTGAGCACATTGGTTGATTCAGTTCGGTTTTAAAATAATGATTCAATTTTTTTGTTTAAAACTTTTGAATGTCTTTTGGTTTTTGAATTGGTTTTAATATTCATTAAATCAAAGAAACCGAAAAATCAAATAATTTTAGGATTATAAAATTAAATTCATTTGAAAATAAATAAATTGAGCACATGATATTTATTTTAGTTTAGTTTGAAAATTTTAATTTAAAGCGACAGTGATAAGATAAAAAAGAGAATTAAAATTTTAATTTTGAACGAAAACATTAAATTTTAATTATTTCAATTTGAAATAGAACCAAATGTTAAGGGCTTCCTTGAGATCAGTTTTATCATTCAGTTTTTATTTTTATTTTTTCTTTTGTTTTTTAAAAATATATTTATTTGGTGTGTTTTTTATATGTTTTTTTTTATTTCAAAAAACAAATTAATGTGTTTTTGAAAACACCTAAAAACACCATGTCTTAATTAGACATGCCAAACATATTTTATTTTAAATAAAATCAAAATAAAAATAAAAAACAATAAACAAAAGTGATCCCGAGCGATCCCTTAGTTATTTTAGTTTTTTTTAATTTCAGATTTCAGATTTCAGGGGTGACTAATTTATAAACCGATCAATCCATTTTTGCCGCCCATGCAGGATCCTTTTCTGAATATTGCACCGAAGAAGCCAAACTGGGACCTGAGGAGAGACGTGCAAAAGAAGCTTGACAAGCTCGAGAGACGAACACAGAAAGCATTATATGAGCTAATGCGTGAGTAATTGATTAAATGACATCTCTGTAGATTATATTAGATAAATCGGATTTATTAAGCAGTTTTTAGTTTCGAATTTTATTTGTTTATGCTGCAGTTGAGCAAGAGAAGGAGAAGGCAGCCATGGAACTTGACAATGCTGGAAATGCAGATTGACCATTTGAATTTTTTAGCGGTCTTCATTACCTATAACGGTCAGATATATTTAAGAATAGCAGTTAGTTATGACGTGTTGTTGGTAGAGATTGTTTTGTAATTAAAACCTGCTATTTTGCCCTTGGTGTTTCAAGTCTTGTAAAATTTGGCAACTTCGATTCCTCGTCTGAGGCCAACTTTTTTATTCTATATGTTTATTTTAAGTCTATGGTTCCTTAAATATGGTTTAAAAAACCTTACAGGTGTTTTGTTTGATGGTATATCTTTGAACTTCGGGTTGTGTGCGTTATGGATTGTGGCAAGAGAGTTGCGTTGGTTTCAGCTTTTTGAACCGCAGTCAGGGTCTGTTTGGGGTAGCTTATTAGGCTGCGGCGGCGAGGTGTTTGGAAACTCCATTCGTATCGCGTTGGGTAATCACTCGGATACGCGCGTGAGGATTTGTTAAAGAATTTCGACGCGCCTCAGGGGCCGTGTCCTGCGTCTGCGAGTAGCGTATTCTTCCGTGCCCTTCAGCTCTCCATCGCTCTCTCTCTCGCCGTCTCCCTCCCCGATCTTCACGATCGACTCATCACAGCTCTCCATCATTGTCGTCTCCCTCCCTGATCTTATTTCTTGTGTAGATCAACTCGTCTAGCTCTCCATCGCTCTCTCTCTCTCACCGTCTCCCTCTCCGATCTTCACCCTCGCGTAGATCGACTCGCTTGTAGCTCTGGTGAGATCTCCGGTGAGATCTGTTTACTCCGGTTAGAATGCGATTTTTTTTAGTCTTCTGATATGTTTTTTTCTATCCCAAATTTAGGCATATTTCAAGTGATGATAAAAGTAGGGTTTTCTTGCTTATAATTTTGTTGGGTTTTCTTGGAATACATTGGGTAGCGTTGCACTTTCTTTTTGATAAAGCCAGGAAACATTGGAACATTGGTAGAGATTTTCATGGATTGAAAAATGTTAGTTATAGATATCCATTTATTTTCTTTATTTTACACTTGAAAATTGGGTTTCCTCACCCCTTTGGTTGTAACGGATGCTTTCTTCATTGGCTGCAGTCCATGGTTCATGTTTTTGCTGAAGTGGCTTGATCCGCAGCTTCTGGTTTTATGTATTTGATGCAGAAGTTTGCATTGGGTTCAAGGCTTTCAAAGCTTCATTTTATTAATAAGGCAAAGATTATAGTTAAAGTTTTTGGTACCTTCTATTGAGGCATATGCCTGTGGAATTTTGTTTCTCGTTAAGGCCATCTTTCTTTCCTATAGTAATTGTTAGCTACAAAAAAACACATGTTAATGGCTTCCACTATAAGCTTGTGTTTTTATCTTGCTTTCTATAGTGATGGTTTGAGGCTCTTATTTTTGAATGATGCATTTTTGTTTGCCATTTTTATTTTGTTTTACTTGATAGTGAGAGCCTGCAAATTGAATTATTAAGGACAATTACATATAGGCCATCTGAAAGTTGTTGTTAGCACTCACCTTCATCTATTTTTGAAGGCGTTTACATTCATACCACTCAATTTTGAAATATTTACATATCTAACTCCTAAACTTCATTTTTGACATATATGTCACCTTACCCTATGCATAAAATGGTGTATTTCACTTTTTATAAGTTACAATGATGGTATTTCTTTGGTGATGCAGAAGATCATGTCGATATATATGTTAGATATGTAAATGCCTAAGGATCATGTATTTCACTTATTGCATTTAAGCTTGCTGCTTGCTTGTTATGCTTTTGGAAAAGGAAGATATGGGGGTGTATGTGATAGAGGTGGAAAAATATGTTATCGGCTGGTTGCTATGCTTCGACATGCTTGTTATGCTAGCTGCAAGCTTGATAGATCAAAGCACATGATTATGAGTTGTTTGTTGAGAGTTATTGGCTTTTTTATATAATGTTTCAAGTGAGTATATCCTTGTCTCAGCAACTGGTACAGTGATAATAGCAATAGTTAGTTGTCAAAGAGGCTATTCCGATTTTGATTGCAATATGGAGCTCTTATATTCTCATTGTATTGTAATTGTGCCAAATTATGAGTATGGAGCTCTTATATTCTCATTGTGCCGAATTTTAGTTATAAGTATGGAGTTTGTTTATTTGAGAGCATGTTGTAGTAAGCTTACAGATTTGAGAGCTTATTTGTAGCTATGTAATCTTACAGATTTGCTAAATAAAACTTTCGTTGATTGTCTTCTGTGGATGTAGGTCATTGGCCGAACCACTTAAATCTCTTGTTTACCAGTTTTTTTTTTTGGTAAATTGGAACGTTGGGAATAACGACACCGACCAATAAGCTGTCCCAAACAGTTTTATCAGACATGGACAAAAATGTCATTTAACCACCAATAAGTTAATATGAATAAACTGCCCCAAACAGCAAGCCAGATTATTTTGATTATTAGATTATCAGAATAATTTGTTTATCAGCAGATTATAAATAATCAACAGCTTTTTGTGTTTCCCAACCGAGTTGCATGGAATAGTAAAAACGCCAACGCGATAACATCTGAGGTCGCTGCGACGCGCTTTAACCTTACCCATTGCCATTGCGACGTTTTCCCGAGCCCGCACTCCTTTCCTAGCAACCGTGATGCGAAGGCCCTAGCCGACCACGACAAGAAAGCCCATAGCCCTCCATTTGCGATTGCTGCTCTCTCCATTTGCTTTGCCCTCTCTGCCTCCGCATGAAGGATCGCAACGACCTCTTCGAAGTTTAAGCGAGCTCTGCTTTCCTCACTTCCTTTTGAAATTGAAGAAATCATCTCTTTCAATCTTCATTTAATATTAGTAAAGATTGAAACAAGTGTTTTTCTCGTGATCATGCATGGCAATTAATCACGATCTTCCGATTTCATTTGCTTTGATCGTGCCAGTCTTCTTTCTTGAGTTGTCTGCTCGATCATATTAGTTCTTAGATTTGAAGATTTCAAAGGTAATGTTTTGCTATTATGAGATAAATTCTCATCTTCAATTTGTTTTCTTCAGAAATTCAGTAACTCGGTTTTATTTTTCTATCATTTTTTTGGATCTTGAATTCAATTTTAATTTTTGGATTTACATGATGAGAGAGAAATGAGATTTGGAAATTGGAATTTGCATTTCAATGTTAATGTTATTGTTCATTGTTGGCATCACCTTTTGATGTCAATGTAGAGTGTTTACTTGCACGACTTCGTCCGTTGCATCATGTAGCTTAAGTAGCCCATCCAAGACTCTCTAGCACTTGTTTAAGACAAGGAGTTGGGGTTGGCAGTGATTTAACCTTACCTAGGAGAACCTGCCTTAAGAGGGGCTCATTTAGAACACGTGACATAAGTGGTGCCCATTCTGGTGTTTAGAAGTCACCGCATGTCCGTCTGGGCCCTCTCATGGCCAAGGGAAGTCATTGAGTCCTACGCGCGCTACGGGAAAGTTAAGGTTTGGGACACCCTACTCATGTCGTGACTTAGGGCGACCGTTGACAGCGATTTCCCATGTGAAAGGCCGATCAAGTTACTCAATTTTGAAGGTATGGGACTATGTTTCACTCATATAGAGTCTCTCGTAGCTTACAGATCGAAAAAATCCTCCTTCGGGCACTCCCAATGTAAATCAGAGTTTCGGTGCTAGACTGGCGCTTAGGTGGCAACCTCGGTGGCCTAGGCGCCCAAAATGCCTTCCCGAACATTTAAAATTGAGCCTCTGAAAGTCTGGCACCAGCTTCTGGCGCTGAGGGGCCTATGTGTCAGTCCCAGGCGCCTAAGTGTCCAAAACAACTAAAAATGACCTCTTCCTGAGAACAGGGAAAGTATGCACTAAACTTGGCACCTAGACTTCAGAGGCCTGGTGCTAGGGTGCCATACTAGGCGTCGGTCAATCCCTAGATCACAAAAAAAAAAAAACTAATTTTTGTGCTGATTTGACTCGAGGCGACCAAAATTGCAAGTTTTTGATAATGAGCTTTGGGGATGGGAAAAGAGGGCAGGTAACACCTTTTTTAAGCTTCTCTTAGAAGTTTCCAAGAAGGTTAAGGAAAGAGCTAATGGGAGATTTCCTTGAGTGAGTTGATCTTTACCTAGGGGAGCCTCATTTCCCTCCAATCTTGCACTTCCTTTTTCAATTTTTGGGCTAAAGAAGCTTCCTTGGAGAGCACTTGGAGATCTTGGAGTGCTTTGGAGAGTGCCTCTTGGACAGAGCAAGAGAGGAAGATCTTCTTCCTCAAGAGGAGAAAGCTAAGGGACCTTATCTCCCTCATTCTCTTCCTCGTTTTCAACTTCTTCTCCCTCATCTCCTTCATCTTCCTCCAGCAAATTTATTGGGTGTGTAAGGAGATCTTCTTGAGGAAGGCTAGCGAAGGAGTAAAGTTTCGACTTTCCTACACCAAACGAGAGCTTCATCTTGGCTTGGGAAAGGATCGTTGAAGCATCACTGGAGCACTGTCAGAACTTCGCCAAAGCTTCGTCGGAATGTGGGATCCTCTCCTACCGTTAGGAGAGCTGCCTCCTACTTGAAGAAATGTGTCTGCAATCTCTGCACTGGTGAGATTCTCAAAATCCCTTGTGTTTCTTTCTTAACTGGCCCTAGGGTTAGTTTAGGCTAGATGTTGTGGGTTCGGTCGTCCACATGGTCTGAGTTGGTCGACTGATACTACTCGGTGTGGCCAAACGCCCTTGGATTATTCATTGATTTCCTAAAGGAAAACCTAGGTTAGGAAGCTTTAGTTGGATACACTCCTAGAGAATCTGAGAGTTTCCCTTGTGAGCCTTTGATTCATACCTAAACGGGTCGAAATCCCAATTTTTCCATGATTTTGGTGCTTCCAACCTTCTTTAGAAGGGTTGGGATAGTTCGATCTTGGAGAACAGGAAAAACTTTGTAGTTAGCTCATTTACAAGATCGTGTGAGTTTCGTAGGACAGAAAAAGCTTTGTAGTAAGTCTATCCTATGAACGGTGAAAGACTTCTCCTACGAGAAATCTAAGGGTGAAGTTCTCCACATTTTCTCGCCAAAGCCGGAAGCGGCTACGCCACAACTCCAAGAGCTTAAACCCTGGGTACCTAAGCGAGGTCTTTTAGACGAGTTTGATATGTCGTCGAGTGTTATGAGTTGCATTGCATGTGTGTTCATTTGCTACATTTTTTGCATCTGGATCATGTCGCATATCATATGTGTGATTGTGTGAGCACTTCGGTCTGATCGGTGGTGGCTGCCCCGGCACGACCAC